CGGCACAAGGCGGATAGCTGAATGTTTCAAATTAGGGCAAGATTTGCGTTTCCCCATAAACAACAACTTCGCCACTTCAAGCTCTGTGCTGTCTCCTGTAAAAGGCATGACTTTAACCTCTGTCTACCTACGAGCCTTAGCCGAACTTGGCATTGGAATAAATTTCGTTCACAAGCTTGCTCAATAATTTAATTTATGTCTTAGAATTCATGTTTCAATGTCTACCAGGAAAACGTAGTTGTTTTTGTCGATGCTGAAGTATTTTCAGTTCGATTTCACTAAGTCTCAAATAAATCGTTTTCCGGAGCATCGGATTTTATGTCCAGTACAAATCATGGCCAGTAGAGCGTACTCATTCTAACAGTGATGACCAACCGTAGCAATCAGACGGTGTTGAGTACTCTAGCAGAGAGGTTCAGTTGCTACCTGGAAACGAAAGAGATATCATTAACCCAGACGGGGTCAAAAACAGTCATGTTGTTCAAGAAAGAAGAGAAGAAAGATCTGAAGAACTATGGACAGATCTGCCTGTTCTCACAAACCAACTTTTTGATCACGTAAACATCAACAGACTGTCAACAAATCTGGACGAACAGCAGATAAAAGAACAGGCAGGATCCGACGGAGCTGCAGAACAAAGAATGACATTTTAACCTTAAATCACCTCCTCGAGTAGGCAAGGGAATGCTCGCTCCCTCTGTGCATGGCATTCCTTGAATTAGAGAAATCGTACGGTCAAGTAAAACGCTGTGTAGACAGCACTGGCAGAACATGAAATCGACACCATTTGCATCAACCTGCTACAGGAAGCGAACTGTGGGTGCTTCACAAACATCACTCTGTTCGACACCCCCTCCCCCACCCGGATTCTCGTAGAAGAGGTATGAAACAAACGGGACATTGTTCCTATGCTCCTTGAACATTCCGTTGCCTCTTTGGAAATCGATTACCGGATTATGAGCTGCAAGGGTCAATAAGTTAATGCCACTCTTCCAAAATACCATTTCTGTACAAGGCAGTGAAATTTTGGAGAAGACTATGTTTCTTACTTTAACATCCTTTTCTACAAGAATCCAAAATCTGAATCGAACAGCGTTATGCTTGCGAATCAACGAGAGTAAAATCAATGTTAAGATGTTTTCTGTCCGATCTATTGGCTACTGTTCTTGCAGATCTCTCGAAAGTTTGTTGGCGATGATCCTTTGGAACAGATTTCAAACTTATGAGGGAAGGTAGTTTGAGCGATAGCCTTCAGATTTTACTTCTTGCACTTCTTGAACAACACAAATTTTCCGGTGTGCCTTGCTGCTGGCGATCTGGTGCATTCCTCGGTTTCGGATAGGGGAACAATCTTCAGATATGTAGGTTAGCTGCGACAAATTAGCGATCGAGGACAAGCAGGGGTGAGCACAGGGCATGGCTTGTTTCGAGCTCGACAAATTCGATCTTCAGAGAACAATGACCAGTGGCAGCCTCATGTCAAGAGGACAGCGACCGGTCCCTTTGGAAAAAGCCATGAATGTCAACGCTACCTCACGGTCAGATATCGATTCTTCGAAGACAAGAAGGGAAACGGAAACTGTCTATGAAAACCGGACTGAACTAAGCGTCTCGCCACTTTCCATGCCACTGCCATTCCTGTCAGAGGGTGGCAGAATTTCATGCGCTACGACAAAAAGAGTAAATCGACCTCAGTACCTCAAGTGATTCTCGACCAGTTTCATCTCAGCGGTTCGGGCGTTTGACTGACTAGAGACTGCTAAGAACCATGTGAAAAATCACCATCGGGCAAACGCACTCCGACTTGCGTCGCCGGTTGCTCCAGCAACTGCAGAACATTTGCGAGGGAAGAAAAGTTACACCAATTAATGGAGGAAAAATCAGGGGTGATGGTCCACATCACTGGCTTCTGTGAGACACGACGGCGAATGATGAATAGTATCTGCAAAGAGGGTTATCCGATTCGGTTAAGAAAAGGAGAACTCGCAAAGAATATGGTCGAAATCGGATTTATAGTCAACGAATGTTGGTGATACCGTGTGAAATCACCATGACTGAACTCACTGCACCTCGAACTGAAGAACGGAGGCGATGAAGAGCGTCTAAATCCATATATCCACAAGTACAGCGGACGGGGACGAAATGGAAAATTTTTTATCAGGAATTGGTACAGGCATGTGTCCCAAAGTCTATGTATGCCTTCGTCATTGGACATTTGAGTGCTGAGGTCAGATGAGAAAGATTCGACGAAAAAATCCTCGTTAGGTGCCGCACTGGAGAACGAAATGAACTATGAGATCAGCAGGTAGCCATGACACAAATGAAATACCTGCAAATTAGCAGCACCTAGTTGAAGAAGGGACCTTCAGGAGGTGGCAAGGGACCATGCCCATCGAAGAACAAACGAAAAACCAAATCGACTTCGCCATGTTCCAAAAGCGCTGCATCATCCGGAACGTAGCGTTCTGCCATTGTTTATCATCAGTGGTGATCGGAGACTGGTGCGGGCCAGGCGTCTCTTCAAGGAAAGAATCGCGGGGAAGGCACTGTAGATGGCACATCGCAAGCAGCGACCAAAGATATTTGAAGAGGCGGTGCTCGAAGGACGCATTTCCAGCGAATACTAGAGACTGAAAGCCAGCTGCATGATGACTACGAGAAGTTAGGCAAGAAACAGTGCGGTGAGCAAAGTAAAGAGAACGTAAGGATAGGTCTCAGAAGAGACGAAGACCTTGTCAGGGAAGCGGAGGATGTTGAAGAGATATGAGGCTGATACGATGGAGTATTCTCTTCCTTGCAAGCTCATTAGGTGAAACTTGAAGGAGAACTTTGAGATCTTCCATTTGTGAAAACCAGAAAACAGCTGATCGCCACCTAAGCCTCAGGCAATGCAGAAGCGAGTCAGCGCTTTGTCAGTGGACCGCAACTGAGTTAGAATGCGAATGGTGCATTAGCGTCTGACAGAACTAAGAAGCAGTCTATTTGTAAGTGGTTTACACCCAGCTGTTTACATTAAAAATAATGATTCGCCCACCATAACTTCACTGGTCTTCACTGGCGAAGCTCTGCATGTAAAGCAGCAAATCAGTGAAGGAAAGACCTCAGGGAAAGACGGTCTAACAGCTGAAATGATCTGAAGAGATGATCAAAGGGCTCTGAAGGGTCTAGATGAGAGTTTCACTTGCTACCTGAAAACAGAAAAGATATCATCCAGTGCAAACTTTTATTTACTCTTCATAAATGTACAGTGCATAAACAAACATATAAGCAAGAAATGACGTCATACGGATTCAATTAGCATCGTAACATAATCTCTTATCGATGATTTGGGCAAATCATGTGCGAGATCTGGTGAACTGGCTGAAATTGGAAATTGAAATACGGCCAACGATGGCGCGACTATAACCTCGTACGAATTGGCAACGACAAGACGCGGCTGCATGACTACCATACAGTACATTTATGTTCCGGGTTCATTGGCGAGCCCAGGGGACAGTTGAAAGCTTCGGCAAACTCCTTCGAGTTCTGCACAACTCCCTTGACTCGAAATTCGTTGGGCGCGTGTTCGTTGGTGGACAGCAGGTTTCGGAGGAAATTGTCCTTGTAAGAGCCGCACCAGAAACTGGCGAAGCTGATGAAAAATATTTGATCCATCGAGTACTCTGCCAGTGACGGCAGGCGCAGCTCTTCGCCGTGTTCAGCCACGTACGTCTGATAGGCAGTGAACGCTTCCTTTAAGCCACCGTTGTCGGCGATATTTTCACCCAGCGTAGTATCACCTTGCACGCATTTATTCAATTGTGGGTAACAGTAGTGATCGTATTGTTCTTTCATACACTGCGTCTTCTTATCAAAGTGCAGCGCTGAACTTTCAGACCACCAATTCTAAAAGTTACTCACAAAATGAGTCCTAGGCACGCATCTTCCTCTTCTGACTCGTTTTAGATACATAATTTTTACCCTAACGATAAATACGTAAATCAATCAAGATACGATGCTGCTTAAACAGAATATTTCACGATTGCATTGACGGCTAATTTTTCCAGAAGATGCGAAGCGAGCTTTGCCAACAGGGCGATGCTTACGCAAATGGCGAAGAACTAGAGTAAAACACAATCACTGTGCACCTTGGCCGTCAGGTAGACTAATGAACTTGCTGAACGGGGACATTAGTCAAAGAAGGAGGCGGCATAGGTCAACTTTAATCTTATTAAAATATGACTACTCGACAATGAGCTCTCACTGAAAGTGCAAACAGAGATCTGCTTGACTTGGCCATCTACGCCCCATCATTTACGGCACTGAATGTTTGTCAACAACGGAAACAAACCAATGGCCAAGCAGGTGGAGCGAAGGATGTGCAGGGTCTCCCTCAGGGGTGATGTTTTGAGCCCACAAATTCGACTGGATTAATGGAGGTTTCTTTTGCATTTTAGGACTCTGGTGCAAGATTAGCCGGTCGTACGTTTGGTCTGAGAGACCACGG